TACACTTGTGGTGCCCCGTGGTGGCAATGGATGGTGCCCTTTGGTGGCAATGGTCATGTTTCAATGTTAAATGTTACAATGTTTGGGTATTATGTTATGTGGATGTGGGTCATTGTCAAGGGGTTAAATTGTAAACTGCAGGATGGTAATTGTGCAGGCCAACGTTGGCCTGCTGTTGACAATGACCTTTATATTTTATGTTAAGTAACAAATAAAGCTGTGATATAATTTTGCCAAAACTATGGTGTCAGTGTTTTATTGAAAATTAGTATTTGGTGGGGTTTAAGCAGATGCCGACAAGGCGACCGTGCATATGTCATGTGCCTTTTGGTAGTTGAACACTAATAAAATACAATAAACAAAACAAACTGAAACTTCTCCAGAAAAGATTTTGGTGCCAGCTAGTAAATCAGCCCCATGGAGAGCAGTGTGTGGGTGTCTCATGTACTCATTTTTATATTTTTAAGATGGCTACAATATAACATGCATTATCAAGAAGACGTACAAAAGTACTCACTTCCAAAGTACTGATTTTAAGTCACTTGCTTTAAAATACCTATGATTTTATTAGCAACAAGATATAGAAAGCATGTTTACAAAACATTAGACCACAAAAGGAAGTACTTTGCTCTTCATCAGCTCATAGTCATACCTCTATTATTACGCAGTCTAGAAGTGTGAAATATGGAAGGGACAAAACACAAAAGATGACACATTTTGTACTAATAGATCTACATATGAGCACTTTTGAACGTGCATATGATATTGCTTTTCTGACTAATAAAGTTTATTTTATTCATCTCTGACATGATCATGTTTGTTTTTCTTCTTTTTTGCTCAGACCCAAGTACCATTGTATGTTTTCACTTTATATTATGGGTCATATACTTGGAGTTACTTAAAGGTAGTCTCTTTTAAGAAATCTATTTTTAAGTAAGAGTTGAAATTACAGGAGTTCCCTTGGAAAACTATAAACTTGTGGATAGAGGTTAGTATTACTTTTTATAAGTAATCTGCTAACTTGAAAAAGGTAAAAGGCAGTTGTTGTTTTTTTTTTTTTTTCCTGTAAGCTGCTGCTGAGTTAATAAATGGAGTGTGGGATTTGTATACCAATTTAAGCCCACTGCTGACTCACTGAGGTTGCTCACTTGCAATAACTTTTAAGTAGGCTATTTTTAAGTAGGAGTTGAAAAACCTGAGTTTAAACTAACAGGGAGTTTAAACCAGCAAGTTCATTATTGTTATATTGTTGCTTTTGGCAACTTTGAAGGATTAACTCACTTTGCTACATGTATGCAAGCTGTGAGCAAGTAGCTTCTTTGGAAGCTCGGATTGGAGATCTGGAGAAGCAAATTGCAACATTGACAATCTTGAAAGGGATCTACTGCTCACTGAGCAGAGTTTAGTGGAGCTCTAGTGGAGTGGGAGGACTTTAGAAAGCTGGGGAACAGAGAGGTAACTGGGTAACATTATCAGGTGCTAGTAGGGGGAGGAATGAGGAAAGGTTTAGCTGTCTGTACTAGGGGAAGCTGTTCCTTCTATCAGCAGAGGGAACTGCCACTCTAGTAGAGGTGGGATCGACAATGTAAGAAAGGAAAGACATGTTGTGGTGGTAGGGGACTTTATTATTAAGAGAGTAGATAGGGTAATCTGCTGGAAAACAAATTTAGGGATTCTCCTCTTTTGTCCCCTTTATAGGAATTAAAATATTAGTTCATAAATATCCAGGGTTAGGCCTTGTTTTTGGAGGAATCTCTGTCTAAGCGACTTCCTTCATTTTCTTTTTAGGACTTTAATTTCTACCTACACCCTGAGGCTGATATGAGAATGACTTCTTCCCTGATACCTTGTAATCGGCATGCTCGGGTCTTGAAACTTCTCCACATATACCAACTGATGGATTGCTGGCAGTCCTTTAACCCTATGCCTTGAGACTACAACTTTTATATAATCACCCATACATAAGATTGGTATATTTATTTGCCCGTTATGCTTCTCTTTCATTGCACCAAGAGGCCATTCCACTGCTCCAAGAGACATTCATGTCTATGTCCATTGCCCTCTTTGGCTAAAGATGTGGTCTCCCCTTTTTAGACACTATAGGGTGCAACGCTACATTTTGAAAATTAAAGATTCTACTCAGCAGATTTGTCACTTCCTCTAACAAATTCCAGAAGCCTTTCTTCAATATTACAGGAGCATTTATAACTTGTACCCCAAAATGCAACCGGAAGAACACACATGCCATAGGGAAGATATAATAGCCCAAATCAGTGTTGAAAGACCTGGAGAATTCAATAGCAGATGAGCAATTTGGACTGGGCCTTAAATGTTCAAAAACTGGCAGGTCACCAGATCCTGACAGTCTCCCACTCCTACAAAACTTTTTATCCAGAGTTGAACTTCATGCTCCTGGATGCATTTAACTCTATCTTGGTGGGCTCATCACCATCAGCACAATTTACAAAATGTAAAATTTTATTTAAGATTCAACCCTGTGTTCCAGTTATAGACCTTTATCGGTCCTTAATAGATCTTCAACTGCTTTACATGGAACTGCATACCAAAGCTGCTCCCAACTTGTATTATCCATGTAGGCTTAATTCCAGGCTGTGAGGTCCGAGGCAACACCATCAGGGGCAGAAAAATAGACAGAATAAAACCTCAAAAACAAAATTCAGAAAACAATCATAGTGCAGACAATCTTAATAATATAATTAAACTTGTTAAATTATTAGAATGCCAACTCACAAAAAAAGAACCAGGAATATGGCTCGGTATTGTAGCTTTGAAGTTCTTATGTAGTGGGACCCCTTTCCCTTCTTGAAGGTTCACTTGTTTGTGAGGTGGTAGTTGTATATGTAGTAAAACAAATATGATAAAATTATGGAACAATGTAAAAGTATCAAACTGACATTTGCAATAGGCTCTACTTGGTGCGCCAGCGTCTCTTGAAGGGTGACGCTACTTTTTGGAATCAAAGAAATCCTTTGTGTAGCAAGTATGTTCTGCTTTGTTGGAAAAAGTTGTTGTTTTTTGTTTTTTTTAAATATTTGCAAATACAATATTGGTCAAATAAAAATAAAAGAAATTTAAAACCATATGAAAATAATACAAATATAAAAAGGCTTTTTCAGTTGAAATGCATTTCACCCACAGGGGCTTCCTCAGTCAATAATGCTGCCCTTGAGAATCCTCCTTATTTATATTTTAGTTCATCAATATTAATTAGAGAGTTCTATGTGTTCCTTATTCGGCGTGTGTTTAAACCTCTTTTTTTATTGAAAATGCCTTTTTAGATTTGTATTATTTTCAAATTGTTTTCTTTTTATTTGACCAATAATGACACAGTTACCAAGACTTCTGTTTCTCTTTCAGACCCCTTATTTCAAAACCATGAGGGCAGAGGTCTGGAGAGGGAGAATCCCAAGAATTGCATACAGTCAACTATTACTCCATAAATTATTCACTCAATGATAAGAGCTTAACCCCTTAAGGACCAAACTTCTGGAACAAAAGGGAATCATGACATGTCACACATGTCATGTGACCTTAAGGGGTTAAATTGCAAGTTATTTCTCTTTGATTCTTCAAAAACCTAGCTTTACAAGAACCCTGATGGAGTTTGAAACATTCTATCTTCAAGATTCCATGGCCCTCTGGAATATCTTGGGATGCTGGTAGAGGGTAGATAATTACTACTGAAGAAGATTGCAAATGCTTCACACTTATCCTGAGAAAAGTTGGTGGGGATATGCATGCATGCTGGCTTGCAGAGACGTTCTACTGTGCGAAACAGTTGCCTGGGTCTATTGTGGGAGAGTGCAATTTCGCATGATTTTTTCTGAGTTATCTTGAATTGATATTTGTTTAGATGTTTGGTAGGAGCGGCTTTATCCTCTGGATCATGTGTCCTGTGCCACTTTCTCTCAAGTTTTCGGCCTGTTCTCTTCTGTGCTATCAAACCGGTGCATTGTTGTGGGTTTTGACAGTGCGTATGCGTGTTGGTGCAATGCTTTCTAGGGTATCTCTCATGGTTTTGTTGTAGAGTTGGACTAAGGAGCAGGGGTCTTCACAGGTGCCCATTAGTTCACTTAGATCCTTATGTGATGTTGTGAAAGAATTTACCTTGATTCCAAAGTTCAAGCTAATAGGTGTCATATATTAAAATTGGCTAACTTGGAATCAGGAAATGCTTAAGGCTTAAAACAACACTTAAGACCATATATGTCTAGTTGTGAGAGCAGATGGCCCCCACCTGAGCAGTCTCTCCTAAATCAGTCTGTTCCTTCTCTTTCCCGCAACTTATCTGTTATATGTACATGACGTTCATCGCTATGTCTTATCTGTACTCCCTTCACCCTTTCACTCCCTTCCTACTACTGTTCTATGAGTATTTGTACGTAAGCACTTACTTTTTGTTGTGGAAATAAGGTCTACACATATTTCCTAGTTAGTAAAATGTCTATTTACTCATCTCACGAAAACCAGTATATAAGCTATACACGCATATTTTAGTCAAAATGGCTGCTAGAAGCTTCTAACCCCTCCTCCCCAATAACATCGACTAACTACCTCGTGCAGCAAGATGGCGCCGGGAAACCGTGGGAGACCCTCATGGTCCTGGTGACATCACCCTCGGGCAGAGCATTAGGAAGACCACTTAACACCTAACCAATTATTGATGTATTATTCCACGTTATCTCTGACAGTACCTATGATGTAATTCTGCTTTAAAAGGGGCTTGCCGTCCCCTCTGAATAAACATTCCTCAAGTTATTCAACAACCTGGAACCTGTGTCTGGTGTGAATTACTTCAGGGAGTGTGCACGCATTGTTTCATTGATTTGGCCAGGGGCAGATACACAAAGAAATAAATCAATTTATTGATTGATTTTTCCATTTCACTTTTTAATGTATAAAAACACAACTGACAAAATAAAGGCTTATTTTGATAACCACCAAGAGTCTGGTGTCTAATTCACACTTCTCCAAGTGTACTTGAAAACAATTTGGGTTCCCCTGAATATAACAAAGATCAAATTGGATCTATATCAGTTACATCCAATGGCGTCACCCCTTTTAATGAATTGTGTTTGACCAGGTTCTGAGGCTAGGGTCTGGCTGATTGTGATACAATGAAGAAGTGAATGGAGTGGTGGTCTGACAAAACTGGATTTACAGTTACTGGTGACACTTCTAGTCCAGACTGGAACACTAGATCTAGTGTATGACCTTTTCTGTGGGCAGAAGTGGCGACAATTTGTGTGAAGCCGAGTGCATTCATCAAGCTAAGGAGATCCTGCCCAAGTAGGGATAGGGTGTCATCAACCCAAGTGTTGAAATCTCCAAATATAAGCCATCTGGGGTTTTCAAGGATTAAGCCAGCCATCTCTTCCCATCTCCTTGGGGTCTGTATTTTAACAGTATCCGGAATCCTCTGTGTATTGAGAGGCTGACAGCTACGCATTCAAAAGATTGGGGTTTGTGGACTGACATTGGTCTGGGATTTAAGGATGATTTCGCACAGATCATAACTCCACCTCCCTTGCGACCTTGTCTCGGGCGGTGGAACACCTTGTAATTGCTTGGAATAGCTGCCTCTAGAATAGGCACTGCAGTTTCATCTAGCCATTATTCTGTAATGCATGCTAATTGCATGTTTCAATAAGGTCGGCAATAATAGCGGCTTTGTTTCTTATTGATCTGGCATTGCACAGGATTGATCTGGTAAGACAGTCTTGGGATTCTGATGGTTATCACACAAAGAGGTTTCCTTGATTTGATAGTGCGGTTTTTGTGGCTTCTAGGTTGAATCATTATAATTGGGCTTGCAGGTAGACAGGGTGGTGGAGCAGCTGTGATAGTGACTTTACTTCACCAGGAATACTCTATGACCAATTGCATTGTATTGATTGGCCTGCATTTAACCTAGAAGAAAGCACACATTGAAAGTGGTGAGTTATATTCAAAAGTCAATTAACAAGCCATGATATTAAATAGCATAGATTTTTTTTTTGCCTGACTTCCAACAACTAGAAAGTGAAATGTCCAAAATATTGGAAGGTACACAATTTCTGCTCACTTGACGTGTTTTATATAACTTTTTTGCTCGCTTAGTATAAGGTTTATCACAATCTAGCTTCAGAAACGTATCAATAAAAGTTGTGACTTTTGAACAGAATTGGGAATATTTCCAAAAGGTGGCAAATCAAATTTCACTGTCTTTCTTGTGCAATGTAATGCCCCTAAAATAAAAAGTTGGTGGCTAAAAACTGGGCTTAACTTATGATTTATTTGTGATCTTCTGATATTAAGCTTGATAAGTTAACAACAGAAAAAATATGTCCCTTTTGCAGGCTTTTCAATTACTTCACAGCTTCAAGAGTGTAAATTGATAAGTGTATCGTTAACATATTTGTTCCACATGGACATTGCTGTGTGCATCTTTTTTAGAGGTAACTCTAAACTGACTTTTTTGGTATTGAACATATATTTAATTATTTTATCAATTTTTCTATATTACATTGTAGTTACAGTGCCTAAATGTCCTTTAATTCGTCTAATCGATTAATGAATAATCATTAGTTAGAAAATATGTTAGAAAAAGGTGTTTCCAGTGAGTTTTCAAGTTTCATGTGATTGTGAATTCGCTAAGTTTCTAATGGTTCCATTAATGTGTAGATTACACTCTTTCAGAATGAGTGCTAAAATTTAACAGTTTAATGTAAAGATATAGGGCCATGTTTCACCAAACCGATAATGTTTCTTAAAGGAGCACTATAGGGTCAGCAACACAAACATGTATTCCTGACCCTATAGTGCTAAAACTACCATCTAGCCCCCCTGGACCTCTCATGCTTCCATAAATATAGCAAAATCTTACTGTATTTAAGCCTGAAGCTGTAGAATTGCCTGTTGTTTGCCTCAGAAAAACAAGTTGTTTGCTGACATCATCAGAAGTGGTAGCCTGATCCAATCACAATGCTTCCCCATAGGATTGGCTGAGACTGACAAAGAGGCAGATCAGGGCAGAGCTAGCATGATTCAAACACAGTCCTGGCCAATCAGCATCTCCTCATAGAGATTAATTGAATCAATGAATCTCTATGAGGAAAGTTCAGTGTCTGAATGCAGAGGAAGGAGATACTGAATGTTTGGATGCATTTTAGAAAAGACAGTGTTTACAGCAAAAAGCCTGAATGATTCTACTCACAAATTCAATAAGCTGTAGTTGTTCTGGTGACTTTAGTGTCCCTTTAACATGTCAAGAATTCTCAAATGTGATGTAATTTACACCCAAATTTTATTTCATCAATGGCAGATTTGCAAAAGGAGTTTGCAATTTACATGTGAACCACTAGATGGCAACCTAAGATAAACTATGTCGTTTTTTTTATGTTTATTAGCATACGTCTCAATATTGGACGTAAGGAATACTCTACCCAGAGTGGCATGTCAGCCTGGCATGCATGTATGACAGACTGACTATCAATTTCATCATATTGTAAAGTGCTATGTGGTTTCCACATATACATCACGGAAACCATGTGATTAAACTTTATAGTGTATATTAGGCTCCCTACACCTCATTTTTAATATTTATTTGCATGAATAAGCTCATACCCAAATAGATTTTCTATAAATACCAACTGTTTTAAAGTGGTAAATACCATTTTTTTATTTTATGCTTTCTGATTGGCTGACCGTTTTTTTGGCGCCAATTTTAATTATCTGTGCTCCTATTTAAACCCACATTGCCAGCTAATATGTTCTATTCCATTTTTGATAAAGACCTGTGTGGCGAAACGCGTTAAATATTTTTTATTTGTGTATTTTAAAGGACCACTCTAGGCACCCAGACCACTTCAGCTTAATGAAGTGGTCTGGGTGCCAGGTCCCTCTAGGATTAACCCTTTTTTTTTATAAACATAGCAGTTTCAGAGAAACTGCTATGTTTATAATAGGGTTATTCCAGCCTCCAAATCCTCTAGTGGCTGTCTCATTGACAGCCACTAGAGGCGCTTGCGAGATTCTCACTGTGAAAATCACAGTGAGAATACGCAAGCGTCCATAGGAAAGCATTGTAAATGCTTTCCTATGAGACCGGCTGAATGCGCGCGCAGCTCTTGCTGCGTGTGCGCATTCAGCCGAAAGGGAGGAGAGGAGGCGGAGAGGAGGAGGAGAGCTCCCTGCCCGGCGCTGGAAAAAAGGTAAGTTTTAACCCTTTTCTCTCCCCAGAGCCGGGCGGGAGTAGGACCCTGAGGGTGGGGGCACCCTCAGGGCACTATAGTGCCAGGAAAACGAGTATGTTTTCCTGGCACTATAGGGGTCCTTTAACAATAAAAGTTTTTTGGGCTACTTTTAAATTGTACCAATTCCCTTTTTATTGTTTTTTTGTGCACATTTTACTGCTGGCATTTTTTACTGATCTGGACTTAAAGAAATCCTAGGTGGGGATCATTCCACCAATGCTACTATAATAGAGCAGTACCTTCTGCTCTATACTTATGAGTATATTTTATATATTTTATATACTACACTCCTTTCAAAACTGAGAGCAGTATTGTTGTTTTTATATACCCTGGAACCCTGGATACCTAAACTGGACTGACGGACACACCTCTCCATTGTATCCCATAGCAGGGATTGTACCGCAAGACGCCATCCATTCCAGAGCTGGCTTAAGCTCTTTTAAATGTGAGTCTACTAGCTTTATTTTATCTATTTTACCTTTGGATCGCTGGCGTATTATACTATCGGCTGTCTGTCGTATCTCCCCTTGTCTCTCCACATATACGGATATTTTATCATCCGGACGGATCAACTCCCGAGGATTGCACTCCTATTTTATCCTGTTATATTACAGTGACTTTTAGATGTATTTTACCATCCGGACGGATCAACCCCTAAAGATTGCACCACTATAGTAGTGCGATTTTATTTATTTATTTTTACTTACATAGCCTCTTTTTATTATTGTACAATTTAGACCATTATGTCGGTTTTCTATTTGTATATTTACTTTGGACGCAACCCTCACCTTCTTTCTGTTTTACATCCTGTTTCTCAAAGGTTCTTAGAGGGACTCCCTTTTTGGATTGCTGACCCCCCAATCCTGTTACTTAGCGCTGACTCTCCTTCCTGTTGTATTACACATTATAATATATGCATGTTCAGGTGAGTGCAGCCCTAGCCATCCTTGGTTTCATTTATATATATATATATATATATATAAAAGCTATCAGTGATGTACATATAGTGACATCTTGTGATGTATGAGTGGCATTACTGGAATGATAGGTGTGTTAGCTCAACACCCTTAAGATGACAGCTTGTATTTTTTCTTGCTAAGAGATGCTGCTTTGGTTATATAGCACCAACATATTCTACAGCCCTTTACAATTATAAAATGGGGATAATTGACAACTAGTAATTTACAGACGGAAAAAATAGAACAGAAACAAAGGCCCTATTCAAACAGTCATACAGTCTATGAGAACAGAGTACAGTGGTACCTCGGTTTACGAATTTAATGCATTCTCCGGGACGCTTCTTATTGCGAAAAAGTTGTAAACCGAAATGTGGTTTCCCTCAGGAATGCATTGAAAACTAATTAATCTGTCTCGGAGGTCAGAAAAAAGTCAAAATGAGCTGGCATGGAAACCAATCCACAACGCAGAACACACAGTAAAAGGCAAGTTCAGCTCCCTACCTTTCCACCGCTTGAGAAATGCACCAGAAAAGTTCCAAAAAGTCCCAATACCACTGCAAAAAAATTCCTGAATGGCTCCAAAACTGATGCAAAAACCGCTCCAACACCTCCATACCCGATGCCACGTGCTACCCAAAAACTCCAGCATGCATGGGGGAGGTGTTATGCAATGCATCCTGGGAAACTTGCATCGTATTGTGAAAAAAAATTGTAAACTGAGGCATTATTTTCAATGGATTTTCATTTGTTAACCGAAAAGTATGTTAACTGAGGCATATGTAAACCAGGGTACCACTGTATATATCTTTAAAGAACATTAATGTACTCTATATAAGCACACATGCCCTATGAAATCTCCTGATTAGTAGTTTCAACTTATCAGAGCTTAGTCTTTCCAAGAGGTGGACTAGGCCTCAGCCTAGCATTCCAGTTTAGTAGAGGCAGCAAAGACAAGAAGTAACAATTAGACTTGCACATTGATGATTTTCAGCTAGTACGAATTACCAGTGGACATATTAAAAGAGTACGTTTAATTAAAAGAAATTTGAGACATTCGTACCTGCTGAAAAGACCACTTCAGCTTAATGAAGTGGTCTGGGTGCCAGGTCCAGCTAGGGTTAACCCTTTTTTGTATAAACATAGCAGTTTCAGAGAAACTGCTATGCTTATAAATGGGTTAATCCAGCTTCCAGTGGCTGTCTATTTGTGAATGCTTTCCTATAGGCTGGCTGAATGCGCGCGCAGCTCCTGCCGCGCATGCGCATTCAGCCGAAGAGGAGAAGAGGGAGGAGAGCTCCCCGCCCGGCGCTGGAGAAAGAGGTAAGTTTAACCCCTTCCTCTCCATCCAACCCGGCGGGAGGGGGACCCTGAGGGTGGGGGCACCCTCAGGGCACTATAGTGGTCCTTTAAGTGTAGTCATTATTTATGTATGTGATTAGTAATTAGAAAAAGTTGGTTTGTACATGTTCTTCAAAGGAATCCTATGGTGGCAGAAATACAAAACTGTATTCCTGGCACTGTATCTCCCCTCTGCCTCCCTCCTTCCTCCCAATTGGGCCTCGGACGGAGTACCCCCAGTCTAACCCAGTCCAAGAGACCACCCTGGTAAACACAATTTTGGCAAACATAACATATTAAAAAGAAGAGTATGTAGAACTAATATCGTACATAACAATTTCGTAACTCAGTGGTGCCTTCATCCTCAGTGTCCAGGACC